ATTTACTTTGTTTTCAGAGAGGGATATGTATTGGAACAATTATTGTCTCTATCATATACTTCATTAGGTCAACAGGCTTCCTTTCCCCTTCCCCTTTCATGAAGGTTTTGGGCAGGGACTTTGCACCTGGCTGAGGAGACTTGAAATAGCCAATCAGAAGCTGACATGGCAACAGATCACAACCACCAAGGGTTCCCACCAGTGGAAGCAATCACCCTGTCAATCCAATCAGTCCTGACCAACCCGTCACAGACATGATCCCCCTAAACTGGGCTCAGCCAACCAGCTGTCAGTAGCTGCAATTTAGATGGCCTAGCCCCTCCTGTCTCCAGCTTCCCTTATTAGCATTGTTCTTGCCTTTCCCACCTGCAACTTCCCAAGCCCTTTACCCTTTCATAGACCAGTGAACCTCTCCTGGGAGCGCCCCCCAATAAACCTTCTTTTAATGCCTCATTCTTGTTCCTGATCTCACGCGCCCCTTTCTACTTTACGTACTTAACTGTATATAACTATTACAACCTTGAAGAGTGTGCATATTAGTCTCACTTATGCTGATGAAGAAACTGAGATTGTGAAAATGAATGAATTGCCTTAAGGTCACCCAGCCAGGACTAAACAAACTGGAGTTGTGATCCCAGTCTGTTTGGCTCAAGACTGGTTTTGCCACTATGATATATTACTGTTTTTCTAGTTCTGACTGTATTATTTGGTTTCATGTGCATCAACAGGAGTGAGGAACAATCATAGGATTCCCCTTACATTCTGTATATTACTCCAGGAAGACAACACAGTATTTAATTAATATAATCACCTGAAAACTTCAACAACAGAAATTACTTCCTCGGGAAGAATTCCTAAAAGTTGAATTGCTCAGTAAAATTATCTGCATGTTTTATCAAATTTTAGGGTTTATTAGCAAAATGCCCTTTAAGCAATATATAAAGTACCTGTTGCCTGTAATCATCATCATCATCATCATCATTATCATCATCATCATCCATATAGTGTTTACTATGAGCAGTCCTGGGCAGTCTGGATGGACTATGCCAAGACTGGATACTATATCAATCTTTTTAAATTTTATACATAAAAATATTTAAGTTAATTTCTATTTAAAGAAAATAAAATGTTTCCTTCCTTCCTTGTTTCCTTCTTTCCTCTCTACCTCCCTTCTCTTCTCTTTCTGACATTTATTTTCCTTTTTTAAGATAGTAGTTAATGTTTATTTTTTCCTTTGAGTATTCCTTTTTCTACATTGATTTGTACCAAGTATGTGTATGTCATGAATAGAACTAATGTGTTACATATGTCACAATTTTTTAGTTTGCCTCTTTTAATTTTTTATTGTTTTCTTCACATATAGAAGTTTAAAATTGTTGTTTTATGAAACTTATCCATCTTTTTACTTATAGTATTTTTTGTTATTTTAAAAAGGTTGTCACCATGGTGAGGTCATATAAATATTTGCTCTAATATTTTTCTGCAAATTTTATGATTTCATTTATTTTTTTAGAGAGAGAGAGAATTTTAATATTTATTTTTTAGTTTTCGGGGGATACAACATCTTTGATTGTATGTGGTGCTGAGGATTGAACCAGGGCCGCGCGCATGCCAGGCGAGCGTGCTACCGCTTGAGCCACATTCCCAGCCCCATGATTTCATTTTCTTCTAAAATTTATTTAGTTTTTTAACATGAAAATTCATTGATGGCATTCTTTCTACCTTTCCAACATTGCTATGGGTTTATTATTCTTCTCATATCATTTCTGTCATATGAATGGGATTTAATAAAGGAGGTTAAAAACAATTGCCACATTGAAAAATAAAATAGATTTTTAAAATAGTTAATTATTTGATTTCTGGCTCATTTTTTAATATGGCTGTTACATCATTAAGATTTTCTACTTCTGATTAAATTTTGGTCATGCACGGTCTTCAGTTTTCCTTTGTTGTTAGTCAAGATCAGTATAAAGTATTTCCTCATAATTTAAAAAAATATTCCCTTCATCTGTGATTAAATGTATTCCCACCCTATTAATTTTTATGTATTTGTCTGGTTCCCCTTAAGTTTCAGCTCTGCTTCTCACTAATGAAAGCATGTGAGTTCAGTCACTGGAATATTAATTTTATTTCATTGTAAGTAACTTAAAACATAATTTTACATTATATTTTAGAATAAAATGTTAAAACATTGCATGATTTGTATAATAAAAGGAAAAAACCTCAAAGGAATGTGTTTGTGGAAGGATTCAGGAAGGGGGAAAAGATGAGTGTGCTTTTGCCCCTGTACTGTGTACTTTGGTGAAGAAATTGCCAGCTAAGAGAATCACTGAACTAACAATGGTTTATCTATTTAGCTTGTTTTTAAAAACAACTTCTTAAGTTAGCTTAACAAAATTTACTTTACTTTGTTTGTTCATTAATGTTTGCCGTTATCATTTTGTAGCCAACACCCCATTTCCCTTTTGTAATTTTTTGTTATCCTATTTAAATGCCAAATTAATTTATATTATTTTTATTGTTTGTATTTCAACTCTGAGTATATAAGTTTAATTGAATTCATCCACATATACCCTGTAAATAAAATATTACTTAACTTGAGTTTGATAAGAGTGCAGATTCTTGTACAACACTTATTTCAGTAGGTTTGGATGGGACCTAGAAATCTGTATTCTTAACAAGTTCCTCAGATCACACAAAGAGAAATCCTTTGCTAATTGCTGATTTATGTTCTCATTATCATTATTTTTGTTAATTTATTCCAATAAGAACTTTGATTAGCACTTTGTCTCAAAAATGTTTGTTTGGCTTTACTTTTTAAGTAGTTGGGTTTTTCCTTCCCACTTTTATTATTAATACCTGCCTTTATTCTATTGAAATTAAAGATAATCCGTGGTGTTGTCTGATTTTTTTTTATTTTTTGAGAAAATACAAAAATATACTATAACACATAGGAATTGGAATTCCCACCACCTATGATTACCTATTGTTGATATCTTTCCGTATTTGCTTCCATTTTTAAAATAAAGCAAGTTTTTACACATTTAATTCAAGTTCTTTTCCATCAATGCCCTGTATCCTATTCCATTTCTTCTTGCTCATGTGAAAGTTTGGTATGAATCATTTTAGTATATTTGCTTGCTTGCTTTCTTTATTTTCATTCCTTTTTGTGCCAGAGATTGAACACAAGATCTCATACAGCTTAACATCTCCACCACTGAGCCCCTCTAGAAATATTTCTAGTAGAATATTTCACATATATATGAATGCATCTATAAATACCATAGAGTATAATTTGACATGTGCTGATTCATTAGGCTTTTGAGATCTATACACATTACTATATTCAAAAGTAGTTCATCTTTTGCCTCTGTATTAATCATATTAAGCATACTATATGTGAACATATATATCACTATATTAATTGATGCATATCACATGCCTATATTTTTTCCTTGAGATTTATTGAGGTGTTGGTGACCTAATGACTTTAAAATGCTGTTAAATGGCCCCTGGATATTTGAGGGGAAAAGTGATTTTCTGTATGATCTAAATTAGGGTTAGAGATATATACATAAATTCAAAATTATGTCTTCTATTATTCATGTTCTTTTTATCAGTACTGCCATTTCTTTGTTTTTCTTAATCTGTATTGAAATACGTGAATATATTAATGTCTACCACTATATGTGCCTGTCAATTTCTATTTGTACTGTTCTCCCAAAATATATTTCTATTTTTTAAAATTATAAATGCAGTGCATAATAAAAACCATTGAAAAATTCAAAATTTTATAAAAGTGAGAGTTATTCATAATATCAACATTCACTAATCACCACTATCATACTGGTGTATAGCCTTTCATATTTTTTTCTACATGTACACATACAATCTACACGCACGAGTTGTTAAAAATATTTTTAAAGTAAAAATATATTTATTGTATTTTTGATATTAAAATATACATGTCTTAGTTTCTAATTGTGCATAAAAAAAGCCAAAAGTGAAAATACTATAATTTCCCTTTATCTGCAATGTATTTCTTATATATCTTTAAAGACACTTTATATCATATAAAAAACACTCACTTTTTAAACATAGTACATATTATTTTATTGTATGATAACATCATAGTACGTTTGACTAATCTCATGTAAATACACATTTAAAATGTTTAAATCATATTTTTTAATGCTACAGTGTTTGTTTTATACATACTGATTATTTTCTTAGAGGAAGTTTTTAGATGAGGTATTTTTAAATAAAGATGGAAATATTTTTAAAATGTTAATTTGTATTCTCAAATTGCTCTAGGATTATTAACAATTCACACTTCGACTAGCATGAGAGTGCATTTTCTCAGCTCCCTATCAACAAGGTTTATCATTATTTCTCATCGTTGCCGATATGATAAGACAAAAGTATACCATCATCCTTATAATTTGTATTTCTTTCATTACTAGTGAGTTTAATCACCCTTTCACAGCCTATTGGCCCTTTGCACTTCTTTTGTAAAATGTACGCTCCTGCCCTGTCTTCTTCCCTTCCCCCATTGGGGGTGTTCCTGTTTCCTTTTTGCTTTGTCAGAGTTCTTTATTATTCATTTTTCGTCTTTTACATGGGATCGGTTTGATTCGGGCTTTCATCCTTTCACTGCCTTACAGATTGCTAATATATATTCTCCACTGGTCTTTCAATGTCGTTTACAGAAGCGGTTTTCCTCTCCCTCCTCCCTCTCAACTTCCTCCCTCCCTACCTCGCCTCTTTTCTCTCGATTAGTCTTCTCTTCTAGTCTCGTCCCTTCTCCCCCCCACCTCTCTCTTTGTTTCCCTCTTCCCTCTCTCTCCCTCCTTTTTTTTTTTTTTTTAGTGCATAAGTTTTTAATTTTGACCGAGTCAAATCTATCAATCAGGGCCTGGCGCCGCGTCAGCAGAGGGGGGCGGGGAAGTGAGCGCGGAACTGGGGGAGGGGAAGGGGCGGGGAGGAGCGGGCGGAGCGGCTGCGGGAGTTGCTGGGAGTGCGCGCGGTCAGATCACAAGGCGGCGGCGGAGGAGGCCCAGAGACCTGAGCGCTGAGACCTCAGCCCGCGGCCTACGCTGAACCTTCTCGACCGGAGGACCAGGGAACCGCAATCTTCATCACAGAGGTACCGTGCTCTGCGCTCCTCGCCCAGCCCGGCCCAGTCCGCTGCTGCGGCGCCTCCTTCCTTCCTCCTTCCCTCGCTCTCTCGCTCGCCCGCGCCTTCCTTGCCCGCCTGCGTCACCGCGGCCGCCATGGCTGAGAACGGCGAGAGCAGCGGCCCCCCGCGCCCCTCCCGCGGTCCTGCTGCGGCCCAAGGCTCGGCCGCTGCCCCGGCAGAGCCCAAAATCATCAAAGTCACTGTGAAGACCCCCAAAGAGAAAGAGGAGTTCGCGGTGCCTGAGAATAGCTCGGTCCAGCAGTTTAAGGAAGCGATTTCAAAACGCTTCAAATCCCAAACCGATCAGCTAGTGCTGATTTTTGCTGGAAAAATCTTAAAAGATCAAGATACCTTGATCCAGCATGGCATCCATGATGGACTGACTGTTCACCTTGTCATCAAAAGCCAGAATCGACCTCAGGGCCAGTCCACCACACAGCCTAGCAGTGCCGCGGGAACTACTACTACCACCACGGCGTCGACTCCCAGGAGTAACTCCACACCTACTACCACAAATAGCAGCCCGTTCGGGTTGGGGAGCCTGGGAGGACTTGCAGGCCTTAGCAGCCTTGGTTTGAGCTCGACCAACTTCTCTGAGCTCCAGAACCAGATGCAGCAGCAGCTCATGGCCAGCCCTGAGATGATGATTCAAATCATGGAAAATCCCTTTGTTCAGAGCATGCTTTCGAATCCTGATCTGATGAGGCAGCTCATTATGGCCAATCCACAGATGCAACAATTGATTCAGAGAAACCCAGAAATCAGTCACCTGCTCAACAACCCAGATATAATGAGGCAGACTCTCGAAATCGCCAGGAATCCAGCCATGATGCAAGAGATGATGAGAAATCAAGATTTGGCTCTCAGCAATCTCGAAAGCATCCCAGGTGGCTACAATGCTCTACGGCGCATGTACACTGACATTCAAGAACCCATGCTGAATGCCGCACAAGAGCAGTTTGGGGGTAATCCATTTGCCTCAGTGGGGAGCAGTTCCTCCTCGGGGGAAGGTACTCAGCCTTCCCGCACAGAAAATCGGGATCCACTGCCCAATCCATGGGCGCCACCGTCGACTACCCAGAGTTCTGCGACCACCAGTACAACCACAAGCAGTGGCACTGGGTCTGGCAGTAGCTCCAGTAATACTACTGGGAACACTGTGGCTGCAGCTAATTATGTCGCTAGCATTTTCAGTACCCCAGGAATGCAGAGCCTGCTGCAACAGATAACTGAAAACCCCCAGCTGATTCAGAATATGCTGTCCGCACCCTACATGAGAAGCATGATGCAGTCGCTGAGCCAGAATCCAGATTTGGCTGCACAGATGATGCTGAGTAGCCCACTGTTTACTGCAAATCCTCAGCTGCAGGAGCAGATGCGTCCACAGCTCCCAGCTTTCCTGCAGCAGATGCAGAATCCAGACACACTATCAGCCATGTCAAACCCAAGAGCAATGCAGGCTTTAATGCAGATCCAGCAGGGGCTACAGACATTAGCCACTGAAGCACCTGGCCTCATTCCAAGCTTCACTCCAGGTGTGGGGGTGGGGGTGCTGGGAACCGCCATAGGCCCTGTAGGCCCAGTCACTCCCATAGGCCCCATAGGCCCTATAGTCCCTTTTACCCCCATAGGCCCCATTGGGCCCATAGGACCCACCGGCCCTGCAGGGCCCCCTGGCTCCACTGGCTCTAGCGGCCCCACTGCACCCACTGTGTCCAGCTCTGCACCCAGTGAAACCACCACTCCAACATCAGAATCTGGACCCAACCAGCAGTTCATTCAGCAAATGGTGCAGGCTCTGGCTGGAGCAAATCCTCCACAGCTGCCGAATCCAGAAGTCAGATTTCAGCAGCAACTGGAACAGCTCAACGCCATGGGGTTCTTAAACCGTGAAGCAAACTTGCAGGCCCTAATAGCAACAGGAGGCGACATCAATGCAGCCATTGAGAGGCTGCTGGGCTCCCAGCCATCGTAATTACATTTCTGTACCTTGAAAAAATGTATCTTATTTTTGATAATGGCTCTTAAATCTTTAAACACACACAAAATCGTGCTTTACTTTCATTTTGATTCTTTTAAATCTGTCTATTATAAGTCTAATATGATGCATTTTAAGGTGGAGTCCCTCCCTCCCTTTTTTCTTTTCTCCCCCTTCCTGCCCCTCCCTCCGCCCTTCCCTTTCCCCCCCTGCCTTCTCCCCTCCTTTGTTTCCATCCTTCCTTCTTTCCTTCCTTTTTTTTTTCTTTTGGTTTCCTTCCTTCTGTGTTTCAAATGGTGGGAATCAATGCTGTTTCACTCAAAGGTGTTGCATGCAAACACTTCTCTTTATTCTGCATTTATTGTGATTTTTGGAAACAGGTATCAGCCTTCACAGTTGGGTGAACAAGTTTTGTCCTACAGATGTCCAATTTATTTGCATTTTAAACATTAGCCTATGATAGTAATTTAATGTAGAATGAAGATATTAAAAACAGAAGCAAATTATTTGAAGCTCTAATTTGTGGTACAATATTGCTTATTGTGACTTTGGCATGTATTTTTGCTAGCAAAATGCTGTAAGATTTATATCATTCATTGATCGTTTTTGCTATATTTGTACACAGTACAGTAAGCACAATTGGAACTGTACATCTAGAAGTATTACTGTAGAATCTGAGCAGAGTATGTGTAACCCAAATAAGAAAGAATACAAGAAATATTTCTGGAGCTAGATATGTCTCATGATTTTGTAGAATCTTACAGCATATTTGATAAATTTCTCAGTGAAAAATGTTGGCTAGGCAAGTTCAGTTAAAATATAGTAGAAATGTTTATCCTGGTATCTCTAAGTATACATTTAATTGTACAGAAAACTTACAGTGTAACATTGTGTCAACATTTGCAGATTGACTGTATATGAAATTAATCTTTGTGCAGCCTGAAGGATCAGTGTAGTAATGCCAGGAAAGTGCTTTTTACCTAAGACTTCCTTCTCAGCTTCTCCCATAAAGAGACCCTAATATGCATTTTGATTTGTAATTGGAAATGTAACTTTTACTGAAAGTGTCATGTGATGTTTGCATTACTTTTAACTGCTATGTATAAAGGAAAGTGTATCTTTTGACTTTATTGGTTATTTCTCTTGTGCACAGGGAAAATGCATTAAAAATGACTAAAAAAAATAAAAAAATTAAAAATGGATAAATCTTCTTCTTTTTGCCTTCTGGCCCTAGGATCATGTTTAGAAGGGTATTCCCACCCCAAGATTATATAAATCTTATCCTGTATTTCCCTTTCATGGTTTAATTTAAATTTTTTGCCCTATCTGGAATTACTTTAATGTATGGATTTAGGTGTTCTAACTTATTTTTCTCAAAAGGTTAATCAGTTGTTAGCCAATATTTTCTCCTTTCCCAAATTGAAGTATACATATTCATACTTGTTATGTTTGGATTCTCTTTAGTTCCAGTGAACATTGTAGCCCTAGTAAACCAGCCTATACTTTTGAGTTCATACCTGTTAGGCAAGTCCTCTGTTGATCATCTTTATTTTTTACAATTTTCTAATGATTCTGACATATTTGTTGTATCAGTTGAACATTACATTTAATAGGCTTTCCACAAAAGATAAATTGGGAATTTGGGATTGTTTTAAATTGATTATAATAGTGAGCACTGCAGAATTGCATTGCTTTCCAGAAATATTATATATTGCCTCATTATTAAGAACTTTTTATATTATTTGAGAGTTTTATTTATTAAGTCCTGCATAATTTGTGATAAATGTATTCCTAGATAGCAAAGACATAAATGGGAGTTTCTATCTGGTTATTTTTGCCATATAGGAAAATTTATTTTCATAGATTATTTAAATTAGCAGTTAATCAAAACTTATTAATTTCATAGGTACTCAGTTGATCCTTTTGAGCTTCTCATGGTAAGCAATCATCAGTGATAAGTTATAATTACATATTCTTTTCAAAATTTATAACATAATGTCTGACTGCATGGTTAAACATTCTATAACAGTGTTAAATAATAAAGGTGGCAGTGGCATTTTTGTCTTGTTTCTCATTTTAATAAGTATACTGCAGCAATTCTAAATTGTTTTGGAAAAAATATTGAGAGGAAAATAAGTTTGCAAAATACTATATATTCTAGTCCCTCTTGGAGACTTATTGTGAAGTAAATGTTGGTTAGTATGTTTTTAAATGAATAGGTTTTTTAACATACAGTGTTCTTCAGAAAAACAACTTGGAGAATGATGATTTATTATTCCTCTACAATGTGATGGTAGATGTTTGAGATAATCACAAAGTTAGTCTGCCACAGAAATTTAAGAATTTTAATGACATGGATGATTTTACAAGAAATAAATACTAAACCTGGAGGCATATAAAATAGCAATAAATCAATAACCATAGGAAAAATTGAATATTGTCTGAGACCTGTTCAATCAGATAATTGAACAGATAAGTTTTCAAACATTTAAGGAACAGAGAAATCCTTAGCTTTTCCAGATGTTTTATCTATTTTTTAATGTTTTGTTTTCTTCCTGAAAAGATCCCTACCTTTATTAAGTCTACTATTTTTTCTGCTTTTCAGTTTGCTCATTTTTAAAATAACTTTATTTGGTCTCTTATTTTATTACTTTTAACTTTTTCCTCTGCCTTTTGTGTGATGCAATTTCCTCCTAAGACTCTGTTTTTGTTTTGTATTTCTTCATCTATTGATCCAAAATTTATCCATCCTTTAATCAAGAAGGTATATCCCGACCTGCTGTCCCTCCACCTAAGAGTGGAGTGATTTTTGTATCCTTTCACTGTTTACTGGGTTGTCACCCTTCTTTAACCTGGCTGGATGGTGAAAATTTATATTACAGGCTCTAATTCAACAGAATGAGGAAGTAGGGAAGAACATAAAGCCAGAGGCAATCCCACCAGGAGAACTTCACCATCAAGACATCTTTCCTCATTTGCTCCTTTGGCCTATAATTCAGGTATATGTATACTTTGACCACTTGTGCTGGATGGGGAGGGGCAGTAGTGGGTAGATAATACAACACTGAAACAAACCTGAGATCACCATGTTAGTTGAGAAACTGATCAGAAGATATATCTGTATTTGAGTGTGGCTGACCTTGCCTTCTGAGAGGGGGCAGTCTGCTTTAAATTTTGTTGATCTAGTGTCAAAATAGAAATATATGGAATAATTACTGCCAGGGCTGTCCCTTATGGTATTAGGGGAGGCATTTGGCAGTTGTCTCACATTCACAAAAGGAATCAAATTCAGAATTTTGATAATGATCTTCAAATTATTGATAACTCCAACCAAAGAGCCAGACTGACCCAATGGGAAATGTTTATCATACAGCTTAATTGAGTAAATGTGAAAATATATCAGAAGGCTTAAATAAAATGGAGATTACACAGTATAACCTCAGTTTATTAAAGAGTTTCTCATCCCAGTCTTTTTCATTGCCTACCCCAATCCCTAGTCCTTGTTCTTTTAAACTAGAAAGTATTAGTGGGTTTCTGGCTGCTGTGATTTTATTGATTTGTCAAAATATCACAGAATTTCATCAGATTGTTGATATCCTTCATGGGAATTCTGCTTTCCTTTTTTTTTTAAGAGAGAGAATTTTAATATTTTTTAGTTTTCGGCAGACACAACATCATTGTTTGTATGTGGTGCTGAGGATTGAACCCGGGGCCGCACACATGCCAGGCGAGCGCACTACTGTTTGAGCCACATCCCCAGCCCTCTGCTTTCCTTTTTGTTTCCACAGGTTTTTTTCAATGTTTGTTTCCCAGTGGTTGCTTCTGTTGATTTGTGGGAGGAACGGAAAGAATTAAGAACCTGTTGTCATGAAACCGTCTTCCCAGAAATCTGTTAGGAGACTTGAGAGGAAAGCAATTTTGTAAAAATAGAAAGGAGAAACATGGTTTGTCAGACAGGCTAAAGCTACACAAAGAACAGTCTTTATCAGGTGATGTACATGTTTGCCTAGGTTTAGACACTTTGATAATGGGTAAAAATCCTTGGCAAAAGCTACTTTTAGTAACAAACTAGAAATTGGAAAATACAACCTTGAAAGAGTTGTTTTTTCCAATATACAAGGACACTATTATTCATCAAACGACTATCAATTGAGACATGTATTTCTAGCTGTATTGCATGAATATAGTCAAGGGCTCCCTAAAACAGCACTTCAAAATACAACTTCAGAACTTCTTGGCCTAATGTGTAGATTAGCAAACTTAAGCTAATTTCAGAGAAAATTCTATAATTCATTATTAAAAGAATGTTTGGGAAGCGCGCTGCGCGGCCGGCGGCGGCGGCGGCACCCGGGACGTTGCGCAGTCGGGGTAGAGGGCTGGGCGTGCTCGTGGCGGTGGCGTAATTCTTCGCCCTCTTTGTGGCTCCTCTCCTCCGCCTCAGTTGGGGGCGGGTCGGGAGAATGGCTTCGGAGATGGAGTCGTCGCTGGAGGCAAGCTTCTCCTCCAGCTGCACGGTGTCCGGGGGCTCGGGGTGCCTGCCTCCGGCCCGCTCCCGCATCTTCAAGATCATCGTGATCGGCGACTCCAATGTGGGCAAGACGTGCCTGACCTACCGCTTCTGCGCCGGCCGCTTCCCCGACCGCACCGAGGCCACTATCGGGGTGGATTTCCGAGAGCGAGCGGTGGAGATTGATGGGGAGCGCATCAAGATCCAGTTGTGGGACACGGCAGGACAAGAGCGGTTCAGGAAGAGCATGGTACAGCACTACTACAGAAATGTGCACGCTGTCGTCTTCGTGTATGACATGACCAACATGGCTAGTTTTCGCAGCCTGCCATCTTGGATCGAGGAATGCAAACAGCATTTGCTGGCAAATGATATACCACGGATTCTTGTTGGAAATAAATGTGACTTGAGAAGTGCCATTCAGGTACCCACAGACTTGGCACAGAAATTTGCTGACACACACAGTATGCCTTTGTTTGAAACCTCTGCTAAAAACCCCAATGATAATGACCATGTGGAAGCTATATTTATGACCTTGGCTCATAAGCTTAAGAGCCACAAACCATTAATGCTTAGTCAACCCCCTGATAACGGAATTATCCTGAAACCTGAAGCAAAGCCTGCAGTGACATGCTGGTGCTAAATAACAGCTTTATTGCACTATCTCATTTTGACTAAAAATGCTTTTGAAGAATGACAGTGATAAGTCTTAAGATTTAATCTCAAATATAATGGATCATCCTGACACCTCACTGTTATCAGTGTCATGCTTACTTTTGTATTGTGTATCCACTTAATCAAGTTTGTCACTGTGACAACACAAGGGAAAAGTTGGTTTTGAAGTGAGATTGAAAATGAAGCAAGGCTAGGAGGAATACCAGCTCTTCCCATGGAGAGCCCCATGAAAAGGCCTCCAGGGAGCAATGCTGGAAGTGCCAGTCAGGAACCCTTCCATCCCACGCTCCTGGGACTGAAAAAGAAAATCTGTTCAGGATACACCTCCTGATGTAAGTCCGGTGTGAGGGAAGATGCTGTGACTTCACAAGGTGCTTTATACTTTATTTTATCATCTTTAAGCAGCAAAAAACGAATTGAAAGCATCTGAGGAGTTGTAACTTTGGGGTGGGGTTTTGGTGACAGGGGTTGCTGGTATTTCTTGCTCCCCGTCACCCTGAGCAACTTCATGACTAAATGCTGGGTGAACTCAGCTTGCGTTTGGATTGTAGCTCCGAGGGCATTGCTCTAATTGATTTGAGTCTGTGTGTATTTCTGTAATAGTATTGTGTTATCAATTTTTAAAATGTTTGAAACTTATGGTCACAATAAACAGTTCCTCCTCAGTGTGAAAAAATAAGTTAGATATCGTCTGTTCCCTTGGTGATGGAAAGAATATTTCAAAATTTTTTGTCCTAAGTATTTTAATTTTGAATTTAAGACTTTGCACATAGAAAATAGCACGCTTGACTATGAAGCTATTTACGTGAATGGAATATAAGCCATGGACGGAACTGCAGTGTGCACATAAACTGATTCTGACACTTTGCTGCCCTTGATAATTTTAGATGAAAATAAGCCAAAAAGATGATTGTACTTAAAATATTTTCAGAATGTGGAAAACCAATTAAACATGTCCTCTAATCTAGTTTAGGATTTTCTGTTTAATCATTAGGGTGATCCTAACTGGATAATTTAGTTACAAAAAAAACAAAATCATTCTATAAATAAACTAAATGAAAGTAGTGATTATAATAAATATTCAGCTTTAAGTATTAGGGCTCAAATTGGCTTTATTTGTATTTAAGATTAATCCATTTTTCTTAATCATGCTGGAATTAAAAAATAAAAATCCTTTTACCTTTATCTAAATTAACATTGATTTGTAACTATTTTTATACTAAAACGACAGCTGGAGTAGTTGTGATGGCTGTAGTAGTTTTTTAAAGAAGGGAATCTGTTGCTTTTCAGAACATTTCCTAAAGTGGGGGAAGAAAATTTATAGACTTTCCAAGCACATTTGTGTTTTTTCAGTACTGTTATTATGATTTTAAAAAGAAGTAATTTAACTTTCTTTTTTGTAAGAAGTTAGTACTAAGTGTCCTTTATACTTCTTTGAAAGGAGTTATTTTTTCACTTTAATAATTTATTAATTTTAAAATATTTGTATCATTTGCAACAACTTACATTTTAATTTTTGGTATGTTATCAGTTGAATGGGGATAAAGCTTTTAGATATTCCAAAATATTTATAAAACATCTTATTGACTGTTGAAATCACTTCCAAAATGGTGACTATCTAATAACTAATTATAAATTTTTTTAAGCACAAATCACACATTTTGTAAGTCTGTGAATTTATTTTAACTCTCACTTTTAATTGATATATCAGGTATGTCTTAGAAAAATCTTTGAGAACACCAAAGGAAACTACCCCAGAATCTAATGTAGTTTGTTGTTAACAATGCTTTAAAAGTATATTGCTAATAACATATTTCCTCAAGAAATCTAAAGTTGAATAATTTTATTGTAGAAAAGTATGTTACATTTATCCA